CTAACCTTTGGGCGCAATGGTTCATTCAATCTCAACAATGTACATCCTTCAAATGTAGTCAACATAAAAATATATATACATATACATATTAGAAATAACTTTTTTTTTATAATTTCAGTTCAGTTTTTTGTTCTCTCTCTCTCTCTCACACACACACACACACACACTTAACTAAATGATAACTGTATTAAAAATTGCTGTTGATTTTTTACAACTGTGTACATGTATAGATTGTGTTTCTTTGTTAATCAGAATAATATAATTATTATTATTATATAAGAGTTGGTATTTATGTTTGATGAAATAATACACTAATCAAAGCTTAAACCCGACCGATTTCTATCCACATAGAAAAAAATCAAGGCATTTCATTGTAGTATCTTAGACAAAATGGTATTGTGGTGCACGATTGGAGATTGGGAGAAAGAGTTACCATTGATTTTGCTGGCACATCGTTCCTCCATACAAGGTACAACCAAGAAATCACCCTTCTAGCTCATGTATGGCAGACAACCGTGACTTCCATTGCACAATAAGACCTGGCCACAACAACAAGGTTAAGAAAAGAGAGGAAGGAGGCAATCAGGAAAGTGGGAAAGAAGCAAATATCAGACATAAAGAAGGCGGAACAACAGAGGAAAACGTGGAAACCTTTTGCAGTGGGGGACCTAGTAAAGTGTAGAGAACAAAAAAGTAGCATAGCAGGGGGATCAGGGTGGGGAAAGCTGATCCCAAAGTGGGAAGGACCGTACGTTATCACGGAGAGACGCGGCGCGGTTTACACGATCCGGAGAGAAGACAAGCAGAAGCGTGTAAACGCCAGTCAATTGCAGAGGTAGTTTCAAGATTATCAAGCGTGTGAGTCACGGAAAGCACCAAAGAAGACAGCGGTACGGCGATCAGAAAGACTACGACGGCAGCTTATTAAAAGGGGGGACGAGTGTGGTGCGCGCTACTTATAAGTAGTATATGACGCGAGTGAAAACGTAATGTCTGGCAGCAGAAGATGAGGGAAGATCAAGAAAGGAAGGGCGGGAACACAATGGGATTTGTATGAAACGCATGAATAGTGAAATGTCAGACAATGGGTTGGTGATGGATTGAAGATTTGCAAATCAACGTTTACGATATGGTTTTCCTATTTTACCAATTAACTCTGTAATTTTCGCTAAATACAATTCGGTTGCCCTCACTTGTATTCTCCTTCACACTACAGTATTATAAGTCAAGAGACTAATTTGTATTCACCGTATCATAGAATAAGATAGTTTAACCAGTAAAGTTGCACTAAAGTTATAATCGATCTGTAAGAATTTGGAATTTCAAAAATAAAAACACTGACCAATAAAATGAAATAATAAATTGTTAACTAGAAATGGATAAGATTAATTGAATATAAAGTTATTGTTTTTTTTTGATAAAATGTATATCAGGGTAAGTAAGTACATCAGATTCGGAAAGTATTTTTGTTTAGACAAAAGTTCACTTTCTAATTAAGTATGAATTGGTGTATACTGCTGACTAAAGAAAGAAATTCTCTTCTTCCATAATACTTCTTAGTTCCAGTGTAAATGAAGTACAAGTTGCAACATTGTAATGCATCCGTTTTAATTGTCGTGATGATTAGCAATACAAAATCAATTAAAGTGAGGCATAACTAACTACCGAGTAAATTTTCCATGTAAAAAGGTTGTCTCCAATATAGTTGATCTTCATCAACGGACTAGATATTGTATTTTTGGTCAGTCAGTCAGTTACAACGTAGAACTTCGTACATGAGAACATGAGTTCACGTTACCATACCCCATCAGCACAGAGACGCAATTGTCAGTTCAAATCCCATAGTGGTAGAGATAGTAGAAGTATTAGCAGTAATGGGGAAACTTACTGTTCGAAGATATTATTCGAGAAGTATAATTCAGTGAGATAACTTTAGGAAGAGAAAGATAGAGATGATGAGGAATTCAGGTTAGAATTTCAGAGAACACAATGAATGAATGCACCTGTGCCATTGCAAACGGTTTTTGAGCCATGTCGTTCAAGGTCTCTAACCATCGGTCACTATCATCTCGCGAACCCCAACCAGGTAGCCTTCATCTACCAACATGACTCAGTCCACTTGTCAGTGACTTCATGCATTTCTGCCATGTTTTGGTCTGGCCGCCCCTAGCTTTCTTCCAACCTATTCCTACACCACAAAACATAGCTTGTCGAGGCAGTCGGGGATTTGACATTCGCAACACATGTCCCAACCACCTCAACTGATGAAGTTTCACTATTTCATTCTTACCTAAGACACGTCTACTAACAACAGAATTTCTTACTCGGTCGTTTCAGGATACACAAGCAATGCTTCGGCGACACCTATGATCGAATACTATAACCTATGAATATCTTCTACTCATACTGGCCATGTTTCGCATCCATATAGTAGGACGGAGCGAACTACTGCGCAGTACACTCGTCCTTTAGTCAGCAAACTGATAACTTACCCGCGCCATAAGTGACGCAGGTTGGCGAAAGCCAATCGAGCCTTCTGTATCCGAGCTGAGATTTCGTCAGTCACCAGGCCATCAGCACTGATGAGACTCCACAGATACGTGAGGCGGTCTACACGTTCGACTACTTCACTCCTTATCACTAGTGCGGGTGCAATCGCAAGCCAATCTTGAAGCAACATTTTGCATTCCGGGGGGAACCGCATCCTGAATATGCTTGCATTGTTGCTCAGGGTGTTCAGAAGACTGCATTTTGTCAGCGCCTTCACCGAATAGAACTATGTCATCGGCATATTCCAGGTCAATAAGCGACCCTCCTGGTAGAAGGTCCACCCCTGAAAAGTCTGACTAGGATAATGTTAGCTCTAAAAGCATGTCTGCGACAAAGTTAAACAAGAATGGAGAGAGTAGACAGCCCTGACGGACGCCACTCGAAGTAGAGAATTCCGATGACAGTTCGCCATAGGCTCTCACCCGACTAGTGGTGTTCGAATACAGAGCCTGTGTAAGGTTAGTGTAATTTTCCGGCACACCTTTCAATGACAGACACTGCCACAGAACCTCATGATCGACAGAGTCGAATGACGCCTTAAGGTCGAGAAATACTACTACTGTGGGACGTCTGAACGTGTCTTTGTTCTAGGACCTGACATAGTGTGAATATTTGGTCTATACATCCACGTCCAAGTCGAAAACCAGCCTGGTTTTGTCGAGTCTGCTCTTCACGAGCTTTCATTAAGCGTCCGAGTATTATTGAGGCCAATATTCTAGATACTATATTAGTTAGATTTATTCCTTTGTGATTGTCACAAAAGGACGTTTGTCCTTTCTTATAAATTGGACAATCAGCGATTGACACCAGTCAGACGGGATTACACTCAGTTCCCACATTCTACCAAAGATCTCAGTCAATCTAACTGTTAAAACTGGACCATCATGTAAAAAGGTTGTCTCTAATACAGTTGATCTTCGTCAACGGACTAGATATTGTATTGTACAAACAATGTAATGATTTTATCATTTTGCTTATACGAATTTAATGTGATCATAGGGTCGATGGTTACTGCATGCTCATTACGATTTTAAAATGTAGATGATTACTAGTCTTGTTGGATATGGGTTTTTGCGTTTGTCGAAATGAATAGTTACAAGTGTCCAACTGTTATAATGAAACTTAAAAGCAGAATAATATGTTAGTTTACTTCAACCAAAATATGGTGTTATCAATTGTAAGTACCTTAATCGGAGGTAGTTAATTTTCAAAGAGTAATTACTGAAAGTCAAGGGAATTCGATAAAACTCTCAAGAGAATATTTAAGTCCACATATAATTTAATTCTGACAAAACTAACTGACTATGCGATTGTGTATTATGCGCATATACCTCACACATATACTGATCTCTGGAGGATTGTGGTAAAGAATGAAAGGCAATTGATTGTCTCATTAGTGTTCATATGTTTCACTGCATTTTTAACACTGATGACAGTGTTAATTTAAGCTGCATCGTCAGTCATTTGATCAATTTGTTCTCGTGTGCTGTTACGGGTATGAGGGCGGTTCACTTCCCGGAAGCCCACACCATGGAAGTTTGTTGCTTGAGGAACCTGAAAAGAAAGGTAGATTAATGTTGGTCTTAACGACCTGGGAGCGTGACCGCAGAGCCCAAGGGACGACTGCTTGAGGCCGGTCACCCACGGCCTTTTCATGAAAGGGTTTTTGAGTATTAGACCCGCTCTTGAAAGCCCTTAGTGGGCAACCTTACCGCCGGAGACGGAAATCCATGGGGTGTGTGGTGAGGCGTGAGCTTTTTTAACCCTTCCTTCCTAGTGAGAAGGCAGCATAGCTGCAGATGCTGATTGTCCGAGGGAAACACCTCACTGCTGTCACACCCCTCTGTAGTCAGCAGTACGAATCCGCCCTCAGACCTTGAGTTGATGCTTTTAGCCTCATAGTGAGGTGTAGTTGTGTCCAAAGCAAAACTATAAGTTATTCTTACTACTAGAAACTATAATATCTACAATCTCCCTTTTCTGTGAACTCCCATCATATGAAGTGTTGCATATCATTATGTAAAGTTCAATCTCCTATACCAATGGAAGCATTACTAGGCTGAAGAAGAAAATGAAGCTAAAATATGTCATCAAGGTGTCAGTATGTTGAAGGTTCAACAGTTGGGATCTTTGGCATACTAAAACTTTATAGCGAGAGATGAACTAACCTAATTACCTATTAACTCTGTTTGTTTAAACATGTAGCTTAGTTGACCTTAATTACTTTCTGTGTTTAGTGAAGAAGTCGACCCATAAAGTATTGTGATACTACAATTCACGAGTGATTTTACATCAATGTTTATTGAACATTCTGCATGATGATACTTTTCCTCAGTCAGTCAGTCAGTTGCAACGTAGAACTACGTACGTAAGTACATAACTTCATGTTGCCATACCACATTATTAGCACAGAGACGCAAATGTCAAATCAAATCCCATAATGATAAAGATAGTAGAGATATTAATGGTAATGAAGAAGACTAGGGCGTTTGAAGATATTATTCAAGAAGTATAATTCAATGAGATATAGGGTTAAAAAGACAAAGGTAGAGGTGCTGACGAATCCTCATTAAACATTAAAAAAACAAAATACAATTTGCCAAAAAAAACAAAAAACAAAGATAATTGTATTTATTACTAAAAATCACAAGAAATTACAAAAAAATTATTATTAAAAAAAATCAATGCGCATTAAACAAGGTTGGTTCATTTAAAAAAAAAAATATTTATAAAGTATTAATACAAAGATGTCTAATAAGAAAATATATATATATATATATATTAATATCATAAAATAAAGTTCCACTACTTGTCTCAATCACAGCCTTTAATAAATGAATAGTTGAATTTTAGCATCGTTCACGTAATTCTCTTAGTTTTGCTTTACGTTCACGTAAAGCTAATTTCAATGCTTCTTTTTTCTCATCTAAATCCCAACCACAAGCTGTCGATGTAACACTAACACCATCACCGCCAGTACCAGCACCACCTTCCTCATTGATCGATGATGATGATGATGATGGACAAGCAGTATGTTTACCAATTGGACGATGTATAAAACAATAAGCACGTTTACATTGAAAACATTTACTATTGGATAATGATAAATTATCACTATTAGCTAATAATTGACATTTAGATTCAGTGCATAAACGTTGCATAAGTTTAATCATTCCGTCTACATCATTAGGATGTAATTGATTAAGTTTAGTTAATGCAGTTTTAGATTTGATTGTAGGATTATTGATGTGAGGTGGGATGGTGGTGGACTTTTTCTATAAAAAAAATAAAAGAAAGATAAACATAACATACATACATAGTGATAATTAATTGCAATTCAGAAAAACAAAAAAGTGACTTGAAGTTGAAGAAAAATACACTGAGTTGATTGCTTTTGTTTTTTTTTTAAAAAAAAACTTGTTATAAGCATATTGCCTCGACGAGCTATGTTTTGTGGTGTAGGAGTAGATTGGAAGAAAGTTAGGGGTGGCCAGATCAAAACATGGCAGAAATCCATGAAGTCAATGACAAATGGACTGAGTCATGTTGGTAGATGTAGACTACCTGGTTGAGGTTCGCGAGACGAAAGTCACCAATGGTTAGAGGAGACCTTGAATGACATGGCTCAAAATCGTTTGCAATGGCGCAAGTGCATCCGTTCGTTGTGTTCTCTTAAATCCTAATCTTCTGGATTCGTCAACACCTCTACCTTTGTCTTTCTAACCCTATATGTCATTGAATTATACTTCTTGAATAATATCTTCGAACCCTAGTCTTCTTCATTACCATTTTAATACCTCTACTATCTTTATCACTATTGGATTTGATTTGACATTTGCATCTCTGTGCTAATAATGTGGTATGGCAACCTGAACTTATGTACATACGTACGAAGTTCTATGTTGCAACTGACTGACTATTATGGTACATGAGCATAAATGATACTGGAGAGAAAATTTGTCCATGACAGTATCAGAATAAAGTCGAATGAACTCAAAAAATCAAAAAATTCCCAGTGTAATGGAACGAAGACATTCAGTTAGTTAGTCAGTCAGTCAGTCAGTTACAATAGAGAACTTCATACGTACGTACATCAGTTCAAGTTGCCATTCCACATTAGCACAGAGACGCAATTGTCAGTTCAAATCCCATAGTGGTAGAGATAGTAGAAGTATTAGCGATAATGGAGATGAAGGTTTCAAGATATGATTCGAGAAGTGTAATTCAGTGAGATGAATTTAGAAAGAGAAAGATAGAGGGTGATATGGAATTAAGAAAATTAGACATTAAGACCAGATGGAAAGGCAGTATATTTAGAGAAGACAAAATATATACCATTTAATCTTCAGATTTCCATTTACAAAAAACAGCCAAATTATTGACTGTATTCTTTGATATATCTTTTGGTGTTCGAAACACAAGTTTATCACGCCTATCCAACACTCTACTGCATACTGTTTACAAACCACGCTGCAAGTAGTATTCACTACACCAGTTATACAGGAGGAACTTCAGTTTTTTTATGGCTAATATGAATATAACACATTTACTAAGTACATATTCCTGTATTCAGATAAGAGCTACACTTTTAGATGGTGAGTTAGTGATACTTTCCAAACCAAATCCGACAGAGTGAAGTTCGAACACGAAAATAAATGACTGATCGTTTCAGGCTTGAAGATGGCTATACCTGTTATTTTTCCTAGTCAAAGTATCGCAGAACGGAACTGTATCAGGGGGTAGTAGATTTTAGAACAAATATAAATGAAGATGCAATCAGTCATCCCAGATGCTCTTTAGATATTAACCTAAGTAAAAACAGTTTTGCACACCTGAAAGTTAACAAATTATCAGACTGAACTATTCATTGTATTCAAAGAGAAATAAATAATTTGGACTGATACGTTTCGTTTTTTGAATCCTTAAAAAAAGTAGAGACGATGGAAATTCTAAATTGAAGACAACAATTATGAATTTGTCTACTTCTCCAATGTTCAGAGAGAGATCAAGAAGAATGCACTCGTAAAGTGTATACACATAAACCACAGAGCATTAAAATTTGAACAAAAGTTATATTTGTTAGATTGCTGCTACGTAGTTATTCAAATCCTACCGATGTCCGAATTCAAATATTCCAATACGACCCAAATATTATTCCTAATCTCCTATACATCAGAACACTACGCCGTTACACGGAATTGTTTATTGGGTCGAGTACAGTAGAGAGGAAGTCAGAAAGGAACAGAATACAAAGCTTTACAGATACTGCGAATTTATACATTTAGGTCATTGAACCTTAAGGCTGCATTTGACTGTGTGGATCGTGATGTTCTGTGGCAGTGTCTGTCATTGAAAGGTGTACCAAAGGAGTACATTAACCTCATACAAGCTCTCTACTCGAACACCACTGGTCGAGTGAGAGCTTACGGCGAATTGTCACCGGAATTCTTTACTTCAACTGGTGTCTGTCAGAGATGTCAACTCTCTCCATTCTTGTTTAATTTTATCAAAAGCATGCTCCTCGATATAACCTTATCCTCGTCTGAATTTTCGGGAGTAGACCTTCTATCAGGTGGCTCGCTTATTGACTTAGAATATGCCGATGACATAGTCCTACTTGGTGAAGAAGCTGACAAAATACAGAGTCTTCTGACTACCCTAAGCAACAATGCAAACATGTTTGGGGTGCAGTTTTCTCCATCGCAATGAAAAAGGTTGCTTCAAGATTGGGTTGCATCGGCACCTGAACTAGTGATAGGGAGAGAAGTAGTCGAACGTGTAGACCGCTTCACTTATCTTGGGAGTCTCATCAGTGCTCACGGCCTGGTGACTGACGAAATCTCAGCACGGATACAGAAGGCTCGATTGGCTTTTGCCAACCTGCGTCAACTATGCCGTAGGCGAGATATCCATTTGCTGACTAAAGGACGAGTGTACTGTGAAGTAGTTCGCTCCATCTTAATTTATGGCTGTGAAACATGGCCAGTGAGAGTAGAAGATATTCGTAGGTTACTGGTTTTCGATCATAGGTGTCTTCGAAGCATTGCTCGTATATCGTGGGACACCCGAGTGAGCAACGCTGTTATTAGGAATCGGGTGCTAGGTAAGAATGGCAGATCAATAGATGAAGTAGTGAAGCTTCATCAGTTGAGGTGGTTATGACATTAACTACATATGCTTAACTGCCGACTGCTTAGAAGAGCGATGTTTTGTGGTTTAGGAATAGGTTGGAAGAAAGTTAGGGGCGGCCAAACCAAAACATGGCAGAAATCTATGAAGTCATTGACGAGTGGACTGAACCATGTCGGTAGTTGTCGACTACCTGGTTGGGGTCCGCGAGATGATATTAATAAAAGATGGTTAGAGACCCTGAGTGTCATGGCTCAAAACCGTTTGCAATGGCGCCGGCGCATTTACTCTTTGTGTTCTCTCAAATCTTAATCTTCTGGATTCTTCAACACCTCTAGTTTTGACTTTAAACTTTTCTCATTGAATCATACTTCTTGAATAATATCTTCTAATCCTAACCTCTCCGATTATTTCTAATACCTTTACCACCTCTTCTTCTATTGGATTTGAATTGACAATTATATCTCTGCGCTGATGTGGTATGGCAACATGAACTGATGTACTTACGTAGGAAGTTCTACGTTGCATCTGACTGACTGGCCTTTAGGTCGAATAGGAAAGAGCATCAAAGTCTGTGACATTGACAGTTTAGGACGACCAATAGGAAAGAACATTTTAAATGACATTGACAGTCCGGATGACCTATCAGAGACAACATTGAAGTATTTGACTTTGACAGTTAAAACGACCATATTTTTGACCAATAGGATTATACTTCCAAAAATAGTATTCTTAGGATATTAAACCACAGGCTTGAAACAAAATAAAAATCTATCCAAAACACTATGAAACTAACTTCTTGTTTAATTAAATTTGTTTTATCGGTTTTTATATCACGATTACGACTTTGACTACGTGAATTAGGCATGAATTCATTCTTATTATTATGGTGTTGCTGTTGTTGGTGGTGGTGTTCAGTTTTCAATGGTGGCAAACCTAATCGTTGACGTTTTTTAGCTTCCATGCGTAATTGATGTTGTTTTAGACGAGTTTTTAATTCAGCTTCTTTAAGTTTTTGTTGAACACCTGCACGACAAATTGCTTCATGTCCACATTGACTAATTGGTGGAATATGATCATTACACCAAGGACATAGCCAATAATCTTCTGGTATAGTTTGAATTGAACAATCAATTTTTTGAATGATTTTTTTATTTTGTTCAACTTGTTTCTTTTTTCGTTCTCTTTCTTTACGTATACGTCGAGCACGTTTTCGACCAATCTGAATAAGTAGATAAATACATTTACATAAAATATAATGATAAGAAATTAGGGCTTAAAATGAAGCGTTGATGTGAATCTGCCAGAAAAAAATAGAACTAAGGGATCGATATACATAATGATATAGTGTCATTAAATGTTGCTAAACCTTTCTTTAGAGATATATATCTTCAACAAGAAATAAATGATAAGCACATTATAGTGGCATACTCGACCTATAGCTGCTACCTTGACGTAGTGTTCAGCTTTGCTTATGATGATGAACCAACTGAGCTAGATTGACTGGAACATATATTCTTTTATGTCCTATCAGGCCAAGCAAGTCGACTGGAGAACAGTAAGACTAAAAGCGATAACTTAACGTCTAAGGGTAAAGTCATTGATAACTGTAGGAGGGTGTGACAGCAGTAAGGTATTTCCTTCGGACAACCAGTATCTACAGTGATAGTGACTTATCATAAAAGAAGAGGTTAGAAAAGATCGACCCTAAAAATGTCACGTCTCACCATACCCCACGGATTTCCGTCTTCAGTGGTAAGGCCATTTGAAAAGCGGAGCTATTACTTCCAAGACTTCCCATAAAAAGACCATGTATGACCGACCTCAAGCAAGTTGTCCCTTGGGCTCTGAGGTCACGCTCCCAGGTCACTGAGACCAACTTCTTTTTCATGTTCCTCAAGAAAGACCCTTCCATGATATACATAGCCGGGAAGCGACATCCACCCCCACACCTGTAACAGTACATGTTTAGGCACAATTCGTCTTTCGGTATTGTTTAAACACTTTACTAATGTGTATAAAGTATAGTTAATTTCAATTCATTTAACACTTTATAATAAAAACAAAATGATGAAGTAGCATGAAACAACTGATTGAGTGCTGTATTTGAAAATACATATTCATTGTTAATTGAAAGTAAGAATATGCAGCCGAACCAATAATATTCAACGCGGGTCGTATTAACGATACATGAATTTTTGTGTAGTGATCTAATTTGTACATCTTATGTGTCACTACAATTCCATCACAGTATTGCGCAATATGACATTACAAATTACATTGCCCTAGTAATACCAATATGAAATGTAGACTATGTACGATACTCCTCAAAAACTCATGTTTTGAAAAAAAACACTACATGAGATAAGGTTTGACCAAAAATCACGACGACTATTCTCAATGAAGAATCAGATATAAATAAGCAGAAGTGTATTAAAATGAACACAGTGAGTGAGAAGTAATCATTTACAATAGGCCATTTAGAAAATACCCTTAACATCATTTATATATGTATTCTTTCATGAGTTAATCACAGTTTACATTGTTTGAATGCATTCAGTCAGTCAGGTTACAACGTAGAACTTCATACGTACGTACGTACGTACATCAGTCTAAGTTGCCATAACACATCAGCACAGACAGATAGAGTTGTCGGGTTAAAACCACATAGTAGTAGAAGTATTAGCAGTAATCAAAAAAAGATTATTGATCGAATATATCATTCGAGATGTAAACCCCAAAGGAATCAGTTAAAAAAAAGAGAAAAAACGATGATGAAGAATTTAGTAGATTAAGATTTGAGAGAACACAAAGAATGGATGCACTTGCGTCATTGCAAACGATTTTAAAACATGAACTAAGTATTGTTCAACTGGCTATATCTATGTATCGGTAGAACTCCGCCTGTAGAACCTTCGAGGCTACTGCCGGTCCCATGTCCGGATAAAGAAGGAGGGTTGGACATGGGGTTGGTGACCCCATCCCACCAAAAAACTAACTTGCCAAAAAAACGATAACCAGAAAAAATAAATCAAACTATTTTAACTCTGCTCTGGGAGTTGGAAGAAGAATTATGATGAGTGCCGAGTTCCCTCAGAAGTCACGAGGCCGATACCTCTTCTAACAACCAGAGCAACCGTTCTTTTGAAGGAGGAAATCAGGAAGAAGCGGTTGAAGTGGATAGGACACACACTGCGTAAAGCACCGAACTGCGTCACAAGACAAGTCCTCACATGAAACCCTCAAGGTCAAAGCAACGGAGGAAAAGCCAAAGAACACATTATGCCGAGAAATAGAGATAAACATGAGAAGAATGAACAAAAACTAGAAAGAACTGGAAAGGGAAGCTGAGGACAGAGTTGGTTGAAGAAAACTGGTTGGCGGCCTATGCTCCATTGGGGGTAACAGGCGTAAGTAGGTAAGTAATGTATCGGTAAGAAAAAAAACTACCTCTTGCTCTGTTTGAATTAGATTGCCTATGGTGTACTTATCGACTGTATTTGCTACTCCACATATTTTATTTAGTTAATATTATTTTTTCTTTCAGGTGCCAAATTCTATCGTTTGTTATAATTGACTGAGCTGATTGATGCATACAACGCATGTATACATGAAAAACTTTAGCGAAAGACAAATCGTTTTTGTTTTATGCATTTTAATTTAATTTATAATAAGTACAGTTAATTAGTTGATTAGACGAGAGAGAAAAGAAAACTCTGTCAATTAGCATCGATCACCTGATCGAATTGATTATTTGATACGAAATAATTATACATATTTCCAATTTAAATGATAATATGCATTTTTTTTAAAAAAAAAACAACAAAAAACCCAGAAAGAATCATTCATGAGAGTGCTAATAGACATGCTCCTAGAAATAACCTTTTACCAGGTGGCTCGCTTATTGACTTAGAATATACCGATGACATAGTCCTACTTGGTGAGGATGCTGACAAAATGCAGAGTCTTCTGACTACCCTAAGCAACAATGCAAGCATGTTCGGGATGCGGTTTTCCCCCTCGAAATGCAAAATGTTACTTCAAGATTGGGTTTCATCGGCACCTGAACTAGTGATAGGGAGTGAAGTAGTCGAGCGTGTAGACTGCTTCACGTATCTGGGGCGTCTCATCAGTGCTGATGTCCTGATGACTGACGAAATCTCAGCTCGGATACAGAAGGCTCGATTGGCTTTTGCCAACCTGCGTCACTTATGGCGTAGGCGAGATATCCGTTTGCTGACTAAAGGACGAGTGTACTGTGAAGTAGTTCACTCCGTCGACCTACTTTATGGCTGTGAAACATGGCCAATCAGGTTAGAAGATATTCGTCGGTTACTGGTTTTCGATCATAGGTGTCTTCGAAGCATTGCTCGTATATTGTGGAACACCCGAGTGAGCAACGCTGTCATTAGGAATCGGGTGCTAGGTAAGAATGGCCGATAATTAGATGAAGTAATGCAACTTCATCAGTTGAGGTGGTTGGGACATGAGCTGCGTATGCCTAACCACCGACTGCCTCGTCGAGCTTTGTTTTGTAGTGTAGGAGTAGGTTGGAAGAAAGTTAGGGGCGGCCAGACCAAAACATGGCAGAAATCCATGAAGTCATTGCCAAGCGGACTTGGCCATGTCGGTAATTGTCGACTACCTGGTTGGCGTCCGCGAGATGATAATAATCGATGGTTAGAGACCTTGAATGACATGGCTCAAAATCGTTCGCAATGGCGAAGGTGCATTTATTCTTTGTGTTCTCTCAAATCCTAATCTTCTGGATTCTTCAACACCTCTAGTTTTGACTTTCTAAACTTTTCTCATTCAGTCATACTTCTTGAATAATATCATTTAATCCTAACCTCTCCCATTACTTCTAATACCTTTACTACCTCTTCTACTATTGGATTTGAATTGACAATTATATCTCTGTGCTGATGTGGTATGGCGACATGAACTGATGTACTTATGTACGAAGTTCTGCGTTGCATCTGACTGACTGACTGACTGACTAATAGACTAACATTTGAGTAATATAAAGAATTAAACAAAAATTTCGCAAACGTTTTTCAGATATTCATCCAATATCCTAAGATAATTTTGTTTGTAAGTTCCATTCTATTGGTTGTTTTAACTCTCAATGTCACATGCTTCAAATGTTGTTTCCTATTCGACCTAAATGTATAAATACGCATTATCTGTAACGTTTTATGACCCGGACCTCGTACTTTCTAGACGCTTGTAGAATACATGTTCTACTCCATATCAAGTCTTCTTCTTTTACTCAATATGGGTTTGGAATACTTGGATTAGAGTAGGCTGCTGTATCGCCGGATCATCGATCCTTGCTCCCGCTTACTGACTAAAGTAAACTCGTAATAGTTCAAGCATATCAATATGACGTGTTGATGCGCATTTGTAACAGATACTTGACAAAACACAACAATTCTATTAGAATAAAGAATACTCCTATTTCTAGTTGAATGTATAAACTTTTCTTCCATCTTTAATTGAAGAAAATGAATATAATAGAAATATGAAAATAATTTTTTTCATTGTTGTGAAAATTTTTACTACTATTGTATGTTTGTTTGCTTACTTCACGACCTTGTTCATCAAAACTAGCTTGACAAGATATTTCTTGATGTTTGTTCAAAGTTCCATTATTAGTTTGTAGTTTTTCTAAAGGTAAAAAACAATTATTAGATGAATATTTTTAATCATTTTGTAGTGAATGAGAACACAGATGAGGGCAACCGAATTGTATTTATTCGAAAATTACAGAGTTACTCAGTAAAATAGGAAAACCATATCGTAAACGGTTAATTTGCAAATTTTCAATCCATCATCAATCCATTGTTTGACATTTCACTCACTATTCATGCGTTTCATACAAATTCCATTGTGTTCCCCCCACTCTTCCTTTCTTGATCTTCCCTCATCTTCTGCTGCCAGACATTACGTTTACACTCACGTCATATACTACTTATAAGTAGCTCGCACCACAATTTTGCTATTTCAAAAAGCTTATGTTATCATTTCTTGTATAGAAACAACATTGAAACCTTGTTACATCTTCATTACTTGTATAGTTTTTTTTAAATATTTTATGTTGAATATCTTATATCAAACTGAACTAATTAATTTTCAATTAGGATAATAGATAACTAGATCATGAGAGCGATTATAAATGTCAGTCAGCCAGTCAGAAACAATGTAGAATTTGGTTCGTACGTACATCAGTTCAAGCTGTCATATCCGATTAGCAAGGACAGATGGAATTGTTAATTTATACCCCATAGTAGTAGAGGTAGTAGATGTATCAGCGGTAATCGGAGAGATTAGGGTTCGAAGATGCTATTCAAGAAGTAGAATCTAGTGAAATCAATTTAAAAAGAGAAAGGGAACTGTCATGAGGAATTCAGAAGATTAGAATTCGAGAGAACAGAAAAGAGTGGATGCATTTGCGCTTACCGCAAACGATTTTGAGTCACGTCATTCAAAGTCTCGAGCCACCAGTCATTCAGTTAGTTACAACGTTGAACTTCGTACGTGAGTACATAAGTTCAGGTTGCCATACCACAGTAACACACAGACACGCAATTGTCAAACTCAAATCCCATAGTGGTAGAGATAGTAGAAGAATTACTGCTAAAGGAGAAGATTAGGATTTGAAGATAATATTCAAGAAGTATAATCCAGTGAGATAAGTTTAGAAAGACAAAGGTAGACGTGTTGACGAATTTCGAGCCACCGGTTACGATTATCTCGCGGGCCTCAACCAGATAGTCTACACCTACATGGGACATGTGTTGCGTATGCCCAACCACCAACTGCCTAGTCGAGCTATGCTTTGCAATGTAGCAATAGGTTGGAAGAAAGCTGGTGGTGGCCAAACCAAAACGGCGCAAATCCATGAAGTCCCTGACAAGTGGACTGAGCGTCGACTACCTGGTTAGGGCCCGTAAAATGATAGTAATCGATAGTTAGAGACCCTGAATAATATGGCTCAAAACCGTTTGCAATGGCGCATATCCTAACCTTTGGAGTTCCTCATCACACTTATCTTTTTCTTTTAAGTTTATTTTACTAGATTCTACTTCTTGAATAATATCTTCGAACCCTAATCTTTCCGATTACTTCTGATACTTTTACTACCCCTACTACTATGGGATTTGAATTCATAATTGCGTCTCTGTGCTAATGTGGTATGGCAACTTGAACTGATGTACATACGCACGTACGAAGTTCTGAGTAAAAAAACACTACACATGCTAACATGGAACAGTCCAGTTGTCAATAACTTCATTGATTATACATGTTTTTATTATTTAAACTTGATTACGTTTAACGTACCAGCATAAATAAATTTCAACTAAAAACTACATGATTAAAGAAATAATTTTTTTTTGAGAAAGTAATGTAAAATTTAATTTACTTTTCAATGACAAATTAGTGTATATTCAGAGAAAATCTATCATAAGGATTACTCTCAAAAAATAATTGCGTAAGTTTTGTAAGTATTTTTTACCGCGTCTTCTCAACTAACCATCGATTAAAATGTGTAACTTAACAATCTTCACAATCCCGTAATGACTTGTTACTGGTCAATTTAAGAATCGATTTTTTCAAAATCATTTTCTAACTAACATATTCATATAGTTCACTGATCACATACAAACCGAGTCATAACTAATGATGTATTCGATGAAGAACGGTTTGATCCTCTGATCTAAATGGTAGTTAGTAAGTTGAGAGCATTAATACTAAGCTATTGTTTCATAATTAACGAGTCACTTTTTTTTTGCATTAACAGAACAAATTAATAATCTAGTGATAGAGAAATGAAAATGACTACTACTCAATAAGAAAAAAGAAAAACATGTTTAGCTACTAAAGTTAGATTTATATCTATTGTGAAATGAATTAGAACGATATAGATCAGAATTGTTTGCAATGGCGCAGGTACATCCACTCTTTGCGTTTTCTCAAATTCTAACCTTCTGAATTCCTCATCATCTCTAGCTTTCTGTTTCTAACTTTATCTCACTAAATTATACTTCTCGAATCATACCTTTGAACCCTAATCTTCTCCATTACTGCTAATACTTCTGCTATCGCTATCACTACGTGATTCGAACTGACAGTTGCGTCTCTGTGCTAATGCGATATGGTAACCTGAACTTATGTATGTACGTACGAAGTTCAAACTCCTTCCAACCATCTGCTTCAGTTTGGGGAACCGGCTAGTAGTAGTAGTATTGTTAGCCCTTGTACTTAGTGTAGCTTTATACCCAAGTATCTTTGGGGCATGAGTTAGTCTGTAATTTTTTATAGGCAACACTTAGAGTACACATAAATAAAAAACCTTTTCACATATTTTTATGCAGTTAATTGGTAATTTATCAGTTCGTGAAGCTTAGTATCTTTAAAAAGTCAGCATTTTAATGTCAGGTTCGATATCCTCCTATTTAATTCATTTCACAGTCAGTCAGTTACAACGTACAACTTCGTACGTACAGACATAAGTTCAGGTTACCATATCGCATTAGCACAGAGACGCAACTGTCAGTTCGAATCACGTAGTGATAGCGATAGCAGAAGTATTAGCAGTAATGGAGAAGATTAGGGTTCAAAGGTATGATTCGAGAAGTATAATTTAGTGAGATAAAGTTAGAAACAGAAAGCTAGAGATGATGAGGAATTCAGAAGGTTAGGATTTGAGAGAACACAAAGGATAAATGCACCAGCGCCATTGCAAACGATTCTCAGCCATTTCGTTTAACGTCTCTAACCATCGGTGACTTTCGACTCGCGGACCCCAACCAGATAGCCTACATCTACCAACATGACTTATTCCACTTGTCAGTGCCTTCATGCATTTCCGCCATGTTTTGGTTCGGCCGCCCCTAGCAACTCAATAATTAATTATACTATGAATTAGAATTCATCAGATATGTAAAATATAAAATCCTAACATATGTCAATTCACAAAAGGAATCTCAAACCCTTTTTGTGATATGTACACCATAACCTAGAGAAAGTTTTCTCCTCTCCGATTGTACACTTTACGTTAAACCAATTCAAAATTATTGTGACATAAGATGAAAAATAGTTATTTAAAAAAATTACCAATTTTAATGTCTTCTTTCTTTTCTGTTATTTCTTTGATTTCTTCTTTTTCTTTTAATTGTTTTTGACGTTGCTTTTCTTTCATTAATTCTTCTAATTCTAATTCTTGTTTTTGTTGTAAAGTACCACGTTTACGAACAACTAAACATTCATCATGTAAACGATCTTTTCCAATAGATAAAATTAAAAGTTCATATTCAGCTGCAAGCTAAAATAGAATAAAGAAAAAAATGATTAAATTACTAAAGATGAAAAACAAACTTAATACTAGTTCATTCTCCCCTTCTCTCTGTGTGCGTCTCTGTTATATCCAAATTACTTACTTACTTACTTACGCCTGTTACTCCTCGTGGAGCACATAGGCCGCCGACTAGATATGCCCAAATACAACATATAAAAGAAGTAAACCAATCTTCATATCGATTTAAAGTGAGATGTGTCCGATGACTAAGTGAATTCTCTTACGTATCAATTCATTCAGTTATTTGATTTTCAATGCGATTTTCTTTGTATAGTCAGTTGCAACGTAGAACTGCGTACGTATGTACATAAGTTCATGTTGCCATACCACATTAGCATAGAGACGCAAATCTCAAATCAAATCCCATAGTGATAAAGATAGTAAAGGTATTAATGGTAATGAAGAAGACTAGGATTTGAAGATATTATATATTCAAGAAGTATAATTCAGTGAGATAAGGTTAGAAAGACAAAGGTAGAGGTGCTGAGAATTCAAGAAGAATGGAGAGAGTGGACAGCCCTGACGGACACCACTTGATGTAGAGAATTCAGATGACAGTTCGCCATAAGCTCTCACTCGACCAGTAGTGTTCGAGTAGAGAGCTTGCATAAGGTTAATGCACTTCTTCGGTACACCTTTCAATGACAGACACTGCCACAGCACCTCACGATCAACAGAGTCAAATGCCGCTTTTAGGTCCAGGAAAACAACTATTGTAGGACGCCTAAATGTGTGTCTGTGTTCCAGGACCTGTCGTAGTGTAAAAATATGGTCTATACAACCACGTCCAGGTCTGTAACCAGCCTGGTTTTCTCTAGTCTGCTATTCACGAGCACTAGTAAGGCGTCTAAGTATAAACGAGGCTAACAATTTAGAAACTATATTAGTTAGACTGATTCCCCTGCGATTGTCACAAGAAGACTTTTGTCCTTTCTTGTAGATTGGGGCAATTAGCGACTGAGACCAGTCAGATGGGATTACGTCCAGTTCCCAGATTCTACCTACGATCTCGGTCAGTCTAACTGTTAAAACTGGACCACCATACTTAAACATCTCAGGGGTCAGTCTATCAGGACCTGGAGCTCGCCCTCGCTTCAGATTTCCTAACGCTTTCTCAACGTCATTAAGACTAGGGGGACTTGGGTCGATTTGCCATTCAGGATGACTGGAGATGGTGGGTAACCGAAGAGTGGCTCGAGGCCAGTTGAACTGATCCCTAAAGTGTTCTGCACATCGATCCAGTCTCCTGCATTGAGAATAAATAATAGTCCCATCATTTTCCGAAATAGTCTCACTCACATTTGGGTTCCTAATACCAGTTTCCTTGATGAGTCTAAATAGTTGCCTACTGTTGCTATCGCCGCTGCCTTTTCTATGTCTCTCGCTTTCTCCACCCACCACTGTTCACGGTCGTTGGGTAGGCTTTTTACCAGCCTGCACCTAAGCTGACTCCGCTCCTCATCGTACTCAGAGCCAGATGAGATGAAGTTGCAATACTTCATCCATTGACCTGCCATCCTTACCTAGGACGCGTTCTGTTGACGATCTAATTGAAAACAATATTATTCGCTTTTATGTGCTATTCTAAACTTTATCTGGAGAAATAATTTACATGTGTATTTATTTATCAAAGGAACAAGAATAAACTGTGGGATAATTCCAAGCACTAAATTATTTTATTCAAATAATACAGCTTATCTGAAACATATTATTTTTAATTAGTAATTAAACTGTTCAGATGAGTCTTAACTTGAAAACACTACTAGTCTCACACAAGATTGATCACTGATCAAACTTCAGAACATTTGATGATTGCATTGAAGTGTACAGCTAACCATCAGATGTCTCCAGTAGCTCAGCTTTTCACGTATGATTTATTGACAATGAATAATATTTGTAGCTTTAATAGTTGTTTCTTTTTTTAACAAACATATCAAATTATCACTTGAAAATATAAACACAAGTGTGGTGTGAGCTACTTATAAGTAGTATATGACGTGAGTGTCAACGTAAAGTCTGGCAACAGAAGATGGGGGAAGATCAAGAAAGGAAGAGTTAGAAAACAATGGAATTTGTATGAAACGCATGAATAGTAGTGACAATGGATTGATGTTTTGCAACAGGAACAGTCCAGTTCGATATGATGAACTGTTATTTTGCAAATGAACGATTTACGATATGGTTTTCCAATTTTACTGAGTAACTCTGTAATTTTCGAATAAATACAATTCGGTTGCCCTCACCTGTGTTCTCGTTCACTACACAAGTACTGACAAAAATAAAAATAAAACATACTTGTTTTAATATACTGCGATAAATCTTTGTTGCAAATTTAGTAGGTAGTTTTAATTCACATTCTGTTAAATTTCGATAGAATGGTAAAATATAACATTCAAGTTCCATTACTAGAGGATCTGCTTGAGAAAAACATCCACCTGTTTCGAAATCATCATTGTTTTGTTCAATTTTACGAGAAGCTGGAGCAGTTAAACAAGATTTGATATTATTTTGACATTTATGTAATTCTTTTTTTCGTGTATTCAATTTAACTCTATCTCTTGGATGTTGTAAACTTGGTCCTCCTGGAAGTGAACGAAAAGGAATTGAGCTTAAATCAACCATATCAGGTGATTGTGATTGGTTTCGTACAGAACGAGTAGGCAAAGTCACCATTGATTCATCATTATTGGAAGTGTTCAATAAACAGCATGAATTATTTTCATTAGCAATATAACAAGAATTAGAATTTGATAAAGTGATTGTACAAGGAGAACAGTCATCAATGCAATCATTGGATAAGTATGAATTTAATCGCCCAGTGAATGAAGAACTCATATTTGATAAATCATTAGAAACAGCGTTAACATTATCGGAGTCATTGCCCATAGAAGTGTTTACACTGTAATCTTTATTGATCAATAATTCCATATTATTTTGAGGTTCCGGATCAACAAGTAAAGACACTGAATCGATAATACGTCGAATCATAACCAAAGTTGGTTTTTACAAATCATGCTACAATCTAAAAATTGAAAAGCATTCAAACAGAATATTTACATAAACAAATGTACATTTTGTGAATGAAATATATTAACTACATAAGGTAGAATGGATAAACGTTGATAGAAAAAAATCCGAAATTCTGAAGAAGTAGCGATTACGTATCTATATATCAGTTGATACAATAAAATATGAGGATTTTATATAGGATAAACGCTTCAGTAAGTCAATAGAATCATTCTATCTACTGGTAGAGTGGATCTATAAATTCACTTGCTCCATAGAAAGAAAACAAAGCTATGAGCTTTACTGAAACATAACTAAATATGGTTTAACAGAGGTGAATGTGAATTAGACGGTAACTTAATCAAATAGCCAAATAATTTTATAAGATTCGATTAACATAAACTATGATATACATAACCTGGGGAAAATGTACATCCGTTCAAATAAGCAGTTTTACATCAAAAAATTTAAAGTAATGACTTGACTCGATCTTATTAACTCAATGTAGTTTGATTTGAACTGTTTTTTACTACTTAAATACACAAGCATGTTAAGGGTATTGGCTTTATGAACAGGCGCCTTATGAAACATGCTTCAGTACACTATATATACAGACCCACATATTCTGGTTCAAATCAACGATCTTCTATGTCGGACTTGGTGTTTACGAATGAAATAGAACATACTATCCGCTAAGATGTTCTGCCACTACTAGATAGTAGTGACCATGAGGTTTTCTCGTTTAAATTCCATAGTTTGTGACATGTCTATGGTCAAGACTAACTTCACCTCGATATGTGACGGGCAAATATTTCGGCCATAGTGGAGTTTGCTGCAGCAACATACTGGTTGGTAAACACTAGCTCATCAATTGAAATATGGTTTAAGATTAAAGACAGATTTAGAATCATTACGAACCCATTTATAACATGAATAAATAACACCAAATAAACTTAAGAACTGTCTACTATATATAACTAAAGGGTTAAAGAATTTCCTAGATCTAGGAAGATACATTAGAATATATCTATATCTACAGACTCTGACAATGCACATCCACCTTCTGTGAAACTAAGAAAGGATGCAAAGAAATGATAAGTAAACCTGTTACACTATGAAAAGAAACTGGTTTACAATCTTCAAGTCCTGAATGTTTGTTCACCCATGTAAAGAGATGAATTCAGAGAGAAAGGATCTGACCACTTTTGCTTCAGTAAATTCTATAGGTATCGACAAGTGGTGATGCTGATAAAGGTGACAGGCTGAGTCTGATCAGTGCTGATGGCCCGGTGACTGACGAAAATCTCAGCACAGATACAGAAAGCTCGATTGGCCTTTGCCAACTTGCGTCCCATATGGCGTAGGCGAGATATCCATATGCTGACTATAGGATGAGTGTACTGCGCAGCAGTTCGCTCTGTCCTACTATATAGATGCGAAACATGGCTTGTTAGTGAGTTAAAACGTAGAACTACGTACGTACGTACATCAGTTCAGGTTGTCGTCTCGCGGACCCCAACCAGGTAGCCTGCACTTACCAACATCACCCAGTCCCGACCGTAGCTGCTACCTTGACGTGGTGATCGGGCTTGCCTATCGTGATGACCCAATCGAGCTATGCTGACTGGGACATATGTTCCTGCAAGGTCCTACCATGCCAGGCAGGTCGATAGGAGAACGATCAGACTAAAAGCAGCTACCCAGGGTCTGAGGGCGAAGTCGTACTGCTGATTGATTGCAAAGGGGTGGTCATCGACTGGATTATGAAAACGTCGACGTCTGGAGGGAAGCACGGTATCAACTGGACAGTTAGGACGCAGCTGGACGATCTGGACTTCGCAGATGATCTGGCTCTTCTATCGCACACTCAACAACAAATGCAAGAGAAGACGACCAGTGTAGCAGCAGCCTCTGCAGCAATAGGTCTCAACATACATAAAGGAAAGAGCAAAATTCTCCGATGCAACACAACATGCACCAATCAAATCACTCTTGATGGAGATGCCTTGGAGGACATTAACACCTTTACATATCTGGGCAGCATCATCGACAATCAAGGTGGATCGGATGCAGATGTGAAGGCACGGATTGGCAAAGCAAGGGCTGCATTTCTACAGTTGAAAAATATCTGGAACTCCAAACAGATATCAATCAACACCAAAATAAGGATTTTCAATACAAATGTCAAGACAGTTCTAATGTATGGAGCGGAAACATGGAGAACTACCAAAGCCATCATCCAGAGGATACAAAAAGGGGTGTGACAGCAGCAAGGTGTTTCCCTCGGACAACCAGCATCTGCAGTGATGCTGCCTTCTCACAAGGAAGGAAGGGTTAGAAAAGGTCGACCCTAAAAATGTCACGCCTCACCATACCCTATGGATTTCCGTCTCCGTCGGTAAGGGTGCCCACTAAGGACCTTTAAGAGCGGAGCTAATACTCAAAAAACCTTTCATCGAAAGGCCGTGCGTGACCGGCCTCAAGCAGTTGTCCCTTGGGCTCTGCGGTCACGCACCCAGGTCTCTAAGACCAACACTAATCTATCTTCGTTTTCAGGTCCCTCAAGAAGCAACCTTCCACGGTGTGGGCAGCCGGGAAGTGACAACCGCCCTCACACCCGTAACAGCACGAGAGACCAATTTGGTCGAAATCAAATCCTTCCTACACCCACACATACCTCTCTTCTCTCCACAACTAACTCTACTCACATTCCCTTATCTGACTGCACCGCTAATGCAAACGATGCGAGTTCACGAAACGTCATTCCTGGTCTCTTGAAACCTCGTTCTAGACTACATGTTGAAGCATTTAATGTACGGACATTGTGTCAAATAGGGCAACAGGCATCATTAGCTAGGACTTTAGAATCTCGTGCCATCGATGTATGCTGCGTCTCGGAAACGCGCATATAGGATCCTAGTAAAATTATTAATATGATTTCACCTTGTCAAAATAAAGAAGCAGCTCGATTTACTCTTCGTGTATCTGGAAGCCCTGATGCTGCTTCCCGGAGTCTTGCTGGCGTAGGCATAGTCGCTTGTGCGCTGTCCGACTTAACGGGACAGTAAGGACTCGTAAAGATAAGGACACACGTCGTTGCCTCTTCGTCGTATCTGCCTATGCCCCCACTGAATGCAGTTCAGACGAGGTTAAGGATGAGTTTTACAGAAAGCTTTCGGACCTCCTCAAAAAGCTAGGCGCTCTGATATAGTATTAATGGCTGGTGACTTTAATGCTCAAGTAGGTAGACTAAGTGAAAATGAAAGACACCTAGGTGGATGTTATGGTGTAGCGGCTCAGAGAACAGACAATGGTGACCGTCTGTTGCAAGTATGCTCAGACAACCGCCTATTCTTAGCAAACACTAACTTTAGGCATAAGGAAAAACATCTTTTGACCTGGTGACCCCCGAAGTCGTCTCAACGTTGGACTCAACTAGATCACATCGCCATCAGCCACCGATGGAGGGGTTCGATAGAGGACTGTCACTCGTTCTGGGGCACATGTTTAGATTTAGATCATGCTCTAGTGCGAGCGCGTATTTGTTTGAGGCTTACTGGGCGTAGGAAAGACACCGTAAGAAAGCCTCTTAGGGCTTTACTTAATGATAATAGGGCGAAGAATATATATCAGGAACAACTAGAAAGACAGGCGACCATTTAAGCGATTCCCATCCGGAGGCAGGTTGGAATATCAAAAAGGCTGTGGAAACAGCAGTGATACCTGCTAGTAAGGTTGACCATAAGGCTAGAATGAAGCCGTGGATCTCAGTAGCATCCACCGAACTGATGGATGTCCGAAAACTCATCCCACCTGGCTCTGAACATGATGAAGAACGAAGTCAGCTTAAGCGCAGTCTGATAAAAAGCCTACGCAACGACCGTGTAGAGTGGTGGGTGGTGGCGAAAGCGAGAGCTATGGAAAAGGTAGAGGCGATCGGCAACAGTAGACAACCTTTCCGACTTATCAAGAAAACTGGTATTAGGAATCCTAGTGTAAGTGTAACTATCTCGGCAAATGATGGGACTATTGTTTATTCTCAATGCAGGAGACTGGATCGATGGGCAGAACACTTTAGGGATCAGTTCAACTGGCCACGAGCCACCCTTCCGTTACCCACGATCTCCAGTCATCCTGAATGGCGAATCGACGTAAGTCCCCTTAGGCTTTACGAAGTTGCGAAAGCGTTAGTAAATCTGAAACGAGGGCGAGCTGCAGGTCCTGATAGACTGACCCCTGAGATATTTAAGGATGGTGGTCCAGTTTTAGCAGCTAGGTTGACTGAGATCTTAGGTAGAATCTGGTAACTGGACGTAATCCCATCTGACTGGTCTCAATCACTGATTGTCCCAATTTATAAGAAAGGACAAAAGTCTTCTTGTGACAGTCACAGGGGGATCAGTCTAACTAATATAGTTTCTAAATTGCTAGCATCGATTATTCTTAGACGCCTTACTAGTGCTCGTGAAGAGCAGACTAGAGAAAACCAGGCTGGTTTCCGACCTGGACGCGGCTGTATAGACCATATTTTTACACTACGGCAGGTCCTGGAACACAGACACACATTTAGACGTCCGACAATAGTTGTCTTCCTGGACATAAAAGCCGCATTTGACTCTGTAGATCGTGAGGTTCTGTGGCAGTGTCTGTCATTGAAAGGTGTTCCAAAGAAGTACATTAACCTCATACAAGCTCTCTACTCGAACACCATTGGTCGAGTGAGAGCTTATGGCGAACTGTCACCGGAATTCTTCACTTCAAGTGGTGTCCGTCAGGGATGTCCACTTTCTCCATTCTTGTTTAATTTTATCATAGACATGCTCCTAGAAATAACCTTATTCTCGTCTGAATTTTCAGGAGTAGACCTTTTACCAGGTGGCTCGCTTATTGACTTAGAATATGCCGATGACATAGTTCTACTTGGTGAAGATGCCGACAAAATGCAGTCTTCTGACCACACTAAGCAACAATGCAAGCATGTTCGGGATGCTTTTACAACCTCTTCTACTATTGGATTTGAATTGACAATTACATCTCTGTGCTAATGTGGTATGGCAAAATGAACTGATGTACTTACGTACGAAGTTCTACGTTGCATCTGACTGACTGACTGGACATCACTCAGTCCACTTGTCAGTGACTTCATACATTTCTGCCATGTTTTGGTTTGGCCGCCCCTAGCTTTCTTCCAGCCTACTCCTACACCACAAAACACAGCTGGTCAAGGCAGTCGGTGTTTAGGCATACGTAACACATGTCCCAACCACCTCAACTGATGAAGCTTCACTACTTCATCTATTGATTTGAGAATCGCATCCCGAACATGCTTGCATTGTTGCTTAGGGCGAAGTACTCACGCATGAAGGAGAATCTACATGCCGCATGACTACGGGAATGGCGGAGGCTGACAGTAGATGATCACTGACAAACAGTGGGAGATATCATCATGCTGTCCAAAACAATGTACGTTAGGCACAAAACACACCCGGAAACAGAAGAACACGGGTTAGGCGCGTTACTGAACGCTTGCTACATGCGCGAAGGAGAGCCTGATGCAAGTGCAATGTCTCTTCGAAGGATTCCAACCAAAGTTCTTACTTGACATTGAGAAACAGATGCCGTAACAAAGTTCGAAATGATAGGAAACGCTTTCAGATGAACTTAGCTGTCAAAATACAGGCAATCCCTAAGCATCTGTATAGGTTCGTGACAAAAAACCTACGAATCAGGATATTTCCGCTCAAAGGTCCTAATGGAGAACATATCACCAACCTAAAGATGGCTGAGATTTTTAACCCCAGCTTCACCATTCAGCTAAACCAAGGATCCACGTCTGATGGCTTTGGACTTCAGAAATCAGGAACACCTGACTAAGACGCCTCATACTTGGTACAGCTAGAAAGACGATCTCTATAGCCGTAAAATGTGTTGCGAAAGCCGACCTAGATCTGCGAGACGACAACAGGGAGTCGGAAATAACCGCACGCAAACGACGGTTGAACATGATCACAATCCTCAGCACAGGACACGAATATAGTGGTCTCGCCGATCGAGCCTTCAGACTATGAGAAACTGCAAAGCTTCTGCCGAAGCTTTCAGGTCTATGAGCTAATGGCACGTCACGTCATGATTAAGTTGAAGAACTGTCTACGTCTGAAATTGAATTACTCGATTAATGAAGTTTACTAACAGGACACTTGACGCCAGTGCCTAATAAAATAATCAGACCATTACTAAGACTTCACAGTATCTCAAACTGTGAGGATCAACATCGGTTATTAGAGCTCCTACTCCTACTACTGACCAACCCACTATTCTTTTACCTGTAACGCCTTCTACGTACCACGCGCTTTCCAATATCCAATATCTTTTTCTGAAGTAAGTAAAAACCGATTGATTTCTTTGCGCTCTGAGATTTAAAAAACCAGTCTCTCATCCCGAATTTAAGTTAGGCGGCTAAGTAGTTCGCATTGTTTAAGGTTAAAATGGTCCGTCAGCTGATGCATTTGTATTAGTCAGCAAACGATTCTTCAACAACTCGTTGAAGAAAAGAGTTCAGTTGATGGGAAATTTCCCGATTACTATGTAAGTAACTGATTCTATACATGTTAGTGTTTTGTAACATGAAGAATATATAACAAGTGAAATAGGTTAAGCCTATCTAGTTTTTCTGCAAACGTTAGCTATGAGATATCATGAATCAACCTACTATCCACTCTTCAAAGATTTCCAAGGGTTTCCTGGATTTCCTTACACAGTAGGTGCCTATCTAGACCGAATACTCCGGATTTTATCTCACTAAGACTGTACACACTGTACACAACACATAAAAATCAAACAAACGCAAACATGAAGAATATGAAGAAGTGTATGCTAAATAATAGAGCAATTTTTAGGCTGTTTCAGCAAGATCTTAAACTATAACTCCACTTGAAGAAATAAGCGGACTGACTATTCCATGGGATTTGATTGGTTAGTGTATGAAGAAACCCTTTCAGTTGTACCGTGACTGTGGAAAATCTCTCTTAATACTGTTAACGGGTGATTAGTTGCAAAGTTTGCAGTGGTGTTTTCGGTCGGTGCAAATTATTTAAAAGTAGCATTTTGGTTCTATCCACGTTTGTTTCACCTTTTGCCGTTTTTATCAACGGTGTGGCTTGTCGAATTTTATTTAATGGGTCTCAATTTTTTTGAAGACTGGATAATACACGTACAGCAAAAACAGTAATGTGATGTCTGTCTTCTGATTCTGATCCACTTGCCTTAAAGCCTAAGGAAGCGATTGAGCGATGGAGTGATGATATCTTTGCTCCGACTTGTGTCCTTATACCGTCCAGCTATATATACTTAGACTTTTCATAAAAGGATTCCTGAAGAATCGGATAAGATAATATTTGACGAAACTGGTGTCCAAGTTTTTATATTGGGATTTTTTTATAACGGTTACATAAATCTAAAATGAATGAGTGAAAAGATATATTTAAATTACAGAAAGAGAATCTTAGAGTATGAAATCCAACGATGGCTAGGTACAGGACGGAGGTTTGTCCACAATTGCCACTATCAACATTTACTAATACAAGCTTTTGGTAGAGACTTTTCAGCACAATATGTGAACAGTAGTTTACGATAATCTGGTTTGAATAAATTATGATAACCTGCAAATAACTTGAATAATAGTAGCTGATGATGGAAAACTAAATAATTCTGTAGAGATGTAATGCAATTTATGGTAGGAGGATAAGTGCCTTCTTAGTCTCAATTTATTGAATTGGTTTGACCGCTTAACTGAACCTCGATCATTTTGAAGCCACATCAGGCATTAAATTTCTATCCTATTCCACCTTTACGCGATGGTCAGGCTTTCACACCACATCAGCAAAGTGTCGAATAAGCTGTAATGAGGCACTATTATATTTATCAGAGCAAATAAAAATATAAATGTAAGACTTCCGAAGAGACAGTCCTCAAAATGGGCATCCATCAAATGATAACCAAAAAATACCGAATCGACACGATATTCCTAGATCTGGTATCAGTTGGTTAGAATCAGTTTTCAATAAATGACAATGACTTTCGTGTAGAGAAGGACAACCTGATGAGACAGAAAAATAATGGTGCACATATTAATTTTTGACTTTGCAAAAGCCTTCGACACAGTACCCCACTCACTTCTTATTCCGAAGGTTGTGGAAGTGGGCTTCACTGCGTCGCCCATATCTTGGCTTAGAAACTACCTTGAGAATAGAAAGTTTCGCACTAAGGTGAATAGAGATCACGCGAGTTGGCGAGTTTCAACGTCGAGAGTTTCACAGGGGACCGACTTAGATCCACTTCTCTTCCTGATGTTCCTTAAAGATTTGTTGGACAAAGTTAGCTCGGCGGCGTTGATGTACATAAATGATTTAAAGGTTTGGGGGTCCATTAGAAGTGAACAGGATTACACTGAGCTTCAAAAGAAAACGGTTTGAAACGAAACCAGTAAAAATGTCACGTTGTGTACATTCTGCCCCATATGCCGCAAACGACTTACACCCTAATGTTTTCTCAGAGCGCGATTTCAGTTTACTAACCACCGAAAGCGTCCACGGCAGTTCGAACTATATACAGGACTCAGCCAAGGCTAATGCAACTCTTCACAATGCGAAATAAACTTGCTCCTATCACCCCAGCACTATTCTTCGCGTTGTTTAAGACATATGCGCGCCCCCAACTGGAGGTTTACAGCGTCGTCACATCCCCTCTTCATAACAGAGACATAAATCTCCTGGATGAAGTGAAGAGACGAGCAACGAATTGGATGATAGGGTTCAAAAATAAGCCTTGCGAAAATGGATTCTAAAAAACTGGGATTATTACCTCGAAGTTGCGAAAGAGTCCGAGGTGATCTAATTACGGTGTACAACATATCAAGTACCCCGAAATAAGCCAACATCAGCATCTTTCCAGAAAATCACCACCACGCTCCTCAAGTTAATCGTCGAAAAATTACGCATCAAAGAGCGAACACCTGGGCTAGTGCACACGAAATAAATAATAATGCAAAATATATATATTACATATACATATCTGTTTGCGCGTTAAAAACCATGGATTTGATATTCCACGAAGTATCGATTAACGCTGCCGACGTGAATCGAAGAGCGATTCATAGGTGTTGTAGGAAATCGATACCGAGTATGGCTATGGGAACATCAGAAGGGATGAAAGTGCATAAACACTGTCGTCGATTATTCAGGTTGATCGTTAGCTGTCGTGTACCGTCGGGGAGGAATGACAGAGCCATTCGCAGCGCGCGGTCGAAGCATCGTAGATTATGACTTACTGCTACCAAACGATACGACAGAAACTTGGGCACTTGTGGCCACCAAGTACCTAGCGTTAGTGCAAATATCGTGCACGTAAAATAAACTAACAACCTGAAGTAACGGGAAGGAGACAGGTGACAATGCAATGACCTGCACCTCGGAGTCTAATATTATAGCTGTCCACCATTTCGAAACGTTGTTGCAAGTATAATATATATTTTAGACATTATTCATAGTATTGCAACATTATAAAAATGTTGATGAATAACAGACTCACTGTAATTGAATTCTTTAGAAGAAACGTCTGGTCACCAATTTTAGTGGTGACCGAGTCGAGATTGACTACGATTGTAGAATTTATTTCGCCGGCGGCTGTCCTAATCGCGTCCAATAGAAACACACCGGTACGATACTCCTAGATCCACGTCCCAGCCAAATCAGAAGGCCAAAAATTCTAGGAGAAAACCGTCTCTATATTGTTATAAAATGGAAATACAGAGGCTTACGATGTTTTTGTTTCTTCCAGGACTAAATTACTCCGTAGAGCATCTATTACAATAGCTAGTAAGTGACACTAAGTCCAGCAGCCACCGCGTCTATCCAAAAATGTGGCGGTAGCCATATTATATCAAATTTAAACAATATATGTACAGTTCAAAGGCAAACACAAAAACTTCAATATAAGTACAAAATATGGAAAGAATAACAACATACAATGGTAAAATCTCAAATTGGAATCAAATAAAATACCAAAAATGTCAAGAGAAAAAGTCCATCAGGTCATAGCAAAATATGTAAACATGGAGGGATTTTCCAAAACACAAAGCATTCAAAAAGAATTCTACACCGGCCCGCAAAATCCCTCCATGCAAAAACAGCAAGCGTTGATGACACCTTATTTAGGGTTCCCATGTTATCCCCTAATCCACACCGGAATAACGTGTAGGACTTACAGCAGTACGCCTACCCGCCATCCAACATGGATATGACCTATCGCGCTAACTAGATACCTATACTTTCCCATCAGGCCCTTGATTCCCCTATCTATCGTGGAATGACCTAACGGTAGTATAAACCTTACCCAATTAACCCATACGAACATGAACAACGCGTCGCAAAACTGGTCATATCCTATCCAAGGACTACATTCTCTATCATGGGGACGAATCGCCAATCCACCACCACTTGCTCTGATCAGCAGATACCATAAAGTCCGTGATACTAACTTATCAACAGAAGTTTTTGACCCATAAATAATATGCAAGGGTGGGATCTCCAATTTTGACATTTCATCGTCTCCAGAAGACTTAAAGTAGAATGACGTAGGATCAATATTTATCCTTCCATCTCCTGCTGCAGAAGAGGTTTGAACAGTATTCATCATCGTCGGTAACTCATTTGTCACATCAGTGACATCCGGTTTATTATCAACGTCTAATTGATTCCGTTCTGCATTAGCATCCGTTTCAGCGGCACAAGACATATGCTCAACAATAGCATCGTCATCACACAGCACTGTAGACTGGCTGTTACCATCAAACATTTTCTTCTCATCATCACTCGACTGACAGTCAACCGTAATAGGAACAGTTACAGTTGCACAACCTTGTGCATCTTCAATCAACTTAACCTTCGTGACGAGGTCCAATGGCGTCGAAACACTAGGAGGCTCATTCGATGAAGTTGATAAACTAGTCCCTATAAGTGAACTGCTGACACTTTCTATATCCTTATTATCACTGTCACTATTGAGGTTCTGATGGCTACTATTTCTATGGCTAGTCGTAGCATCCGAAAGAGCATGAGGTTCTGGCTTCTTAGTAATAGTAGCATCATGTCTCCTAGGCTTCTTAGCCGTTACTGTACCACCATCACTTATCCTAGAAGCTACTCTAGGTCCAGTTATATAATTTACCCTAACTGAAGGGTTCCGAAAATAAGCTTTATTCCGTTCAGTCAATCCTGCCTGGGCTTTATTCATATTTGCTGAACTCACTAACCTCTGATTACTCGAATCCAAATTACCGTTCCAGGCTTTTCGAGCAGC